TTATCTTGTTCAGTGAACAGTAGCTGTTCAATTCCAGCACATTTAGGGCAGCAATGGCTGATCAACCAACAGAGGGAGAGTAGTACAAATGAGTGATACTACAATCACTGTTGCCATTGCGCTTTCTTCCAGTTCCACCTGTGCGTGTGAATTGGTTTTACTAAATTGATATTACTCTTCTTATTCTCATTTAAGAAAAGACTGTGCCCTCCTCTGATTTGGCCTGCCAGTGGTGAGTCGCAAGGTGGAAAAACCTCTATAGGATTTGCACATTTCCATGTAGAGCAGTCAGTGACATTGGCTGTCCTTGAATTAGGGAGGCTAAATGAAGTCTTACACATGTGCCAACTTTCAATAAATTTGGTCACAGAGGATACCATCAGAGTCAAATCCTTAAAAAGACAAAAGCAACTATACTGAAGTGGATGAAGGAGCAGAAAGAGTAGAAAGGTTGTTTGAGTATTGAGAATGCAGTGTAGCATCAGGTAATAGACACAGACTCGTTTATTTGAAACATAGTACCTCTTTTGACATGTAGATCACAACATACAGCTTTTTTTCAAGCTATTTTCCTTCTATTGCATAGTCTGAACAAGAAACTAATAATCTGCAGATAAAGTAGTCCTTGAAATAAAACATTTTGGAGACTTTTTGCTTCAGACAGGATGAATATCAGGTGAGATAAAAATCAAACAAGTGAGAGACAAAGTTTGCTTCTGTGTACCCTAACCAGAAACTCACCCTTGTTATTTCTACTTATATGAGCCTTGAACTATGAGATCTTTGATGGCAGTAAAGAAACACCTGTGCTGCATGTTAAGATTAGAAAAGAAAGACAAAGCAATGGTAGAGCACTTTACAGAAAATTAGTGGTCTTGCTAGAGGTCTTAGGAGAATTTTGATAGATGACATTGAGCACCTCAGAGAAGTGATATCAGGATTAGCCTTTCCTCAAAGAGTTATTTCAAAAGAGATTCAAATCAATATAAAGGTGATAAGTATTTGTTGTTATTACCTCTTGCATTCTGCATGTATTTTTGAGGAGGTAATTCACTGTGACACATGGAATAGTCCCTTGGGAGCTCCTGGGTTAGACTAAAATAAAACTAGCAAATGAAGTGTCAAGACTTTATATTACTGTTTATTTTATACATTTAAAGTACACTATCCTTCCTAGTACCATTCCTTCAAATAACTGCACCAATTTGCTATATTTTATAAGTATTTATGAAGAGTGAATAAGAAGTCAGCACAATTGTAGGACTTTGAAACATTGAAAGCAATGTAAGGATTAACTGTTTGTTATAAAAATATTTTTTTTCAAAATACAACTTGATTTAAGCCCTAGTATAATGCTAGGGACATCACTTCTGAGTCATAAATGCCCAATCTCTTCATTGACCTTTTGAAGCCTGAAGTCTGTCACCACACATTTGTCAGTCTCCAGCACTTAGTGAAAACAATTCTTACATTTGTAACACTGAGAGCAGAAATAAGTCTTCGACTTCAGAGTCTATGCATTCACATAAAATTGCTAGATGTTTTTCTTTCCTGCCTGATTATAAGAGAACACAATTTTTTCCAGAAAGACTGCAAAAAGCTGGATGTAAAAAAATAAGACTATTGGTATGTCTTCATGTACAAGAAGAGTAGCAGGTAAATTATGTGTATAATGAACAAAGTTACAATGTTTATGTTACTAAACTCCATAAATGATCTTTTTATGTGACACTACCCATTTTAATACAACAACTTAAAAAGAAATTCTAATTAAATAACTTATCTGTTGTACAAGTCATAATTCTTTTTGGAGCTGCAGAAGTCACAAATGCATTTTAAAAATCCTCTATTAATGTTTACCTATAACAATAATATATCTTGTTTCTGGTGTTTATTAAACTTTCAAAGAAGTTTTTTAGTTAAATTTTTACTTTGCTTTTCACTAAAAGGTTTTTCTTGGACAAAATAACTGTAACAAAAGTATGTGTTTAAAACTGTAACACTAGAAGCTGACTGCAAATTCACACGTTCAAACGATTTGGTGCTTCAGTCCAATCATATTGTCATTCATGTTTTTTTCATGTTTTTTGTCATGTCTATTGTCAGCCATTTATGAACACAGATGGAAGACTAAGTCTCTGTACCATAGAGAAAGAAGAGTATGACCCACATTTGTGTTTTCTATGTCTTGTGTTATTTTGTCTTCTGTCTTCACGGTTTTCTTACAGTTTTTTGACAAATTGGAAGTTAACAACAATTAAATACTAGACTCTGACAATTTTAATATGTGTAATTTTCCTTCTTCTATGATGCTAAGTTGCTATGTTGGTATTGGACAGCTTAATCTATTGTGGTCTGTTTTTCAGTTTAAAAATGTGGTCATGTTACATGAACATCCTAGTATTTTCTAATGCATAAAAGCAGTTTATATAACAGTGCAAAACCTGAACAGTGATCTGTTATATACCAGAAGAAACAAGGTAAAATTGTACAGATATACAACAAGTGTTGATCTTGACTTCTAAGTAAGCCTACAAGCATTTGCAGATCAGAAGCCTATGAAGGTGTTTATGCTGCACATGTGGGGTGTTTTGTTTTGGTTTTTTTCTTTTTTATATCCACTTAGGACTACAAATTTAATTTTCTTTGTAACAAATTAAGTTTGGTTGGTCAGACATACTATAGTCAACTTCTAGGTTTATCTGAAGTTCGGTCACTCTTTTCGAAGATCATTAAGCCGTATCACCAGAGTTTATACAGCTTTTAAGTTTAAAAACAAGGCTCTGGCTTGGGTTGAAGTTGGTAAAGTCAGTTGAAGCTAACAAAATTTCACCAGCTTAAATCATGGTGATGTTTATTTTTTTTAAATTTTAATTCCTCACATAATATAATACATTTTTAGAAGATACTTTTTTTAATTTCTCAAATATACTTATTTTTCTTTTTTGACTTTCAATTACATTTTTAATTTCTAAAGTACATATCACAAAGATTCAAAAAGATTGTTCAAGGTATTTTGTTTATCTTAAATGCATACTTAAATCATTTCTGAAGGAAAATATTTTCTTGACGTATATTGTAACAAAATTCTTACTTACTGGAACTTTTTAACAGATCTACTGGACAGCAATTCCATGTCAGTATGCATGTGTGATAACCCAGAACACAGTAATGTTGTCTAGGACTCTTTAGGTATATATTCAAGACACCACTTAAGGTGCATTCCAAATAGTACATGTATGCCAGCATAAATCCACAAAATCACAACAGCTCATCAAAGATACTAGAAACACAAAATACATGTACAAGTAATAATATTTAACAGATGGAGTCAGATATTTATTAAGTAATATCTTGGAAAAGGTTCAAATGTAACAACATTACACATGAACTTCAGTATGCCTAATATGTAGTTTAAAATTATAAAAGAGATTTATAATACATGTATTATAAAGAGAGCATGAAGTCTAATTATATTTTTGACATTTTGAAAAGATTACACTAAATACATCAATATGAAGAAAAATCTACTGCAGTAGAAAACGATGAAAGAAAATGTACTGTTCTGACAATTTTTCTGTCATTTAATACTTGCTTAATAGTCCTAGTCATATTCTAAGAGTATTTTACAGTCTTTCCATACCATCGAGTCTCATGAAATAGATGTAATATATCCAGTATTCCAAAGTACATCTGTTTTTAAATATTTGATACCTAACTTCTTTTTTCAAAATTAAATCTCCAAAGGCCCTCTTGGGAAGTGTCTAAATCTCTTTGCAAATCTCTTAAAATCTCATCTAGGGAAGCTGTAGCAGGACTTGAAACTGTATAGAATACTTATCAGTGCAGCAGCATGTTAGTCTGAGTCCAAACTGACCTGCTAAGGCATGCCCCAGAATTCTCAGCTGTCCCATTTCTCCAATTTTTCAAGTTAGAATTGCACAAACACCTACTACAGCTTCTCCATGGCCACATTTCTAAGTTGCCTTTTCACTGTTGAGTCAAGAAGGACCTGGGCTTCTCACATAATCTCGAAAACTTAGAGTACAGTCAAATCAGTAAATATAAATAAATTCAAGGATTAACACCAACCTTAACTTCTTACCTATTAGTATTGGATTTTGCAATGTAAAATGCAGAAAAATGTGAAATGCAGAAAAAAAATATGAAACAAACAAAACCAAAACAAATGCAGAAAGGCAATTTTGATTATACCAGGTATATCTGCCTGCATTTCTATACTGGGAAGGGAAGTAAGAGAGGTAGAATAACATCCTTATTCAGAGAAGTAGTTAACTTACTTGTGCTTCAATCCAATTGCTCACAGTTCCACAACATTGCAGTACATAAACAAATTATTTTTTGAAGAAAATTGTGCCACATGCAGTTCAGAAACAACCAAAACAAAACAAAAAATCACAAAACACAAAAAAAAAAAAAAATCACAAAACACAACAAAAAAAAAAAAAAATCACAAAACACAACAAAAAAAAAAAAAAAGCAAACCCCAAACAAATGCAAAACAGTGAGAAAAGAAGAAAGAAGTGCAAGAAGTAGCCATTGCATCAATGTTGAGTCAGCCACAGTACATTGGTTTCAGTAGTGCTCTGTGAACTTCAGCTACCACAACTAAACCTTACATGTTAGCATACTTCCATGAAAAATTAGAACAATTTCTCTCCTTAACTGCCAAAGCTGTTATGTTTAAGTAGTAACTCACAGGGATATATAATTTTAACACTTTTATTTTACTAAAATACTGTGTTGAGGTCAGTCTACATTATGCTAAATTCGTATTTATGCGTTACAATGAAACTGATACTCATATTCATACCATGCTCATAGAAAATCTGTAATTGCAGTCCTACTGCTGTAAATCTTGGAAACGTTACACAGATAACATTTCCACAACTTTTCCAAGGTAATTCAGTGATATTTCTCATTGGAAAATATGCCAATTCACTATATAAACGCACAAGGGAAACTAAACATGGACTTACAGTCTGTAATTTTCAGGACTCGTTTGACTTCTCCGCTTCCTGATCCTCCGCAACCATCTTCATCGTCACAATCTCCACTGATTTGTCCACCTACACCTTCACCACTGCCTGTTTCTTGGAGATACCATGTTTCATATTTTGGAAATGATTTGCCCTGTAACAGCTGAAGACAAGATATACAGTATGCAAGTTAACCGTACAGATGGAGAATTTTAGTGAGTACCCAAAATTTCATGTATGTCTCTCTAGTAACTACCTGATTTAAAAAGAACACATCAGGATACACGGAATGATAATTCTGAATTTTTTTATTACTTTTTTTTTCCTGGCTTACAGACGATTTAAGAGTGGTATCTGGAGATATGTACTTCATTTCTAATTAAAAAATAAAAATAAATCTTAAATGTCTCTATCTTTATTGATAGGTTAAAAACGATCAGGCATCAATTCCTTGCCCAAAGGCCAAGAGGAATGGATACAGACATGTTCTTATTCCTTCAGGCTAATCCCCGGTGGAGCAGACAGACAGTATACATGCTACATATCAACTGGCCCTGGACCTTTTCAAGACCTATGTGGTGCCTACATGGCCTTAAGATGCAATTATTATTTAGTGTGGATTTTTCAGAAATATCTGGGATAGAATGTGCTGCAGCTCTTTATTGGTGAATCCATAACATAAAAGTTGTGCGCTCTGGGCCTGTCATATGAGCATCTGGTAGAAGCTGAAAAAAATTATGTACTGGGACAATATCAGATGTCTGACCAGGGAGCAGCAGACCAAGTTAATAAAGCTCAAGCCAGTGCAAGAGTTCAGACCTAGAGACCATTATTTCCCATATCACATTCAGGCATTGTTTTGGGAGAACTAATTAGGTTGACCTAAAACAAATCAAAGGGATAGCTGATACCAACCTGGCTCAACTTAAGTGGCTCAGATTTTTTAAATTAATAACCAGATGAATTATTCTCCTGAAAGTAGCTACTAGTTAGCCTGAAACAAACAATGTTTTATACATTCAAAAATGTGATTGTTTTTTTGTTCAAGCAAGGCACTGAGTTCATATTTGTGGACGATATACTCAGTTTATTTCCAGAATATGGAGTCCCTTCCCAAACTACCTGATCTGTTAAGTGCTGTACAGTGCCCAGCAAAAATATTTTAATCACTGCTAAAAAGACTTAACTGAGATAAATCTCAGTATCTTTAGAAAAGCCACTTGCAACAGTGTTTAAGAACAGCAGAATACGATTCACCCATAAATCAGCAGAACCAATTTAGGCAGCACTTTGGATTAAAAAGTTTTATTAGACAGTTATATGCTATCTGAAAGAAAAACTATCTAGCTAAGACAAGCCTTGTTCCCTGCTCACTGTGTAATACATTACATACTTCTGCCAACACAGTATTTATGGGAAAAAAACCCTCTTCCAGTTAAATGAACAACATCCAGTTAAACAAGCTACTTTTCTTTGTTGTTTTTTTTTGCCCAGTCCAAATCATGACACAGCTCCAAAGCCAGCTATATGATGGGGTACTCTTCATCCCTGCATTCTGTGGCATAAATTCAAGACACATGTAGATGTGGAACTTCAGGGCATGCTCTAGTGGCCAAGACTGTAGAGGGGTTTTTTGTGGGTGTCATTTGGTGGAATGTGTGTGGTGTTTGTGTTTGTTTGGGGCTTGGGGGAGGGCGAGAGGTTGGATGGTGTGTTGAGTGGATTTTTCTGTTTGTTTTGTTTTGCTAGTTTTGGGGTTTTTTTTGTGTGATGATGGTTGGACTCAGTAATGTCAGAGGCCCTTTCCAACAATTACTATTCTGTGATTTTGTGATAAATGTTGCAAAGAACCTCCAGCAAGACAGATTTTGAAACAAGACATGCTGCCAAAATTTCTATAGTATTGTGCTATTTATATATACCTTTTTGCAACCTAAGAACATGCAAACCTCTCTACTTTCTGTGTCTCTGTCTCAGACTTAAAATTCATTGGCTTAATAAAGTCTCTATATTTTGCTGCTTTTCTAAATTTCAGCCCAAAGTAGTTTCATTCTCCTTCCACTTTATTTTTTACCTTTCTACTTATTGTGCATTTTGACTTGTGACTAGAAATCCAAAGTCCAAGATGACCCCACTAAATTTCTTTACATGTAGTTTCAACACTGAAAAAGTGTTCTTCAACTTTTTCCAAACATTTCACTATATCTGAAAGAACAGAGATTAAGCAATTAACGATCTTGTTTTGCATTTGCATTTTGTTATTTTCTTCAGTCTCCTTAATTGTAAAAGAAAAATATTGTCCCCGTATAAATTCATACATCTCAGTGTTGGTTGTCTACTAAACATGGCTTAGATCTAATAAAAAATTGTTATTAAATTTATATAATCCAGGTAATTTCTCAAAGCTAGCTTGATTCATATTAGAAATTAAGATAAAAGACATTTAAAATTATAATTATGTTATGCTGCAGTTTTTATCAAGCTATTATTTAAGATTATAACTTGAGAATTTTGTTGTATAAGCTGAATAAGGTTTACTAGCTGTATACTGTGTACCCCAAAAAACTAGTAATGTTCTTCCCTTTGTATTGCAGGCTAAAATAATATATTTTCTTTCAGATGACCAAGAAGTTTTTCGATTACATTTATGTAATTAAAAATATATGAAATAAATATTGGGGAGTTAATAATGCATTACTGCCCTTGAATTACAATGAAAATAACAGCAAATATTTGTCTTTGTTTGAGTCAAGATGAAGCCAATTTTCCTTTTACTGATTTCTTTTTCTTTAGTTAAGTCTCTTTTGAGCAGCACACTTGCTGAAAGTAGCAGCAAGTTTACCAGCCAGTGGACTGGTAATGCCTGAATGTTTACAGCTACTGCTGAGAGATCAAGGACACCTTGCTCTACTAGTTGAATCTGCTGCTTTGGACATTAAGGGAGCAGAAGGGTCATATCCACAACCCTCCTGTAGGGAGGAGTGGACTGGACAGATGTCAAAACTGCCCAAAGAAAGCATTCCATCTGATAAAATACTTGGCACTCAGTATAAATTCAGGGAACATGGAAGTCAAACCCTTCTTTCTTCTCTTCTGTTCATGGCTGGCATCCAAGGGAGAACTCTGTCTATCCATCACTACTGATCCCCAGGCTGGTGCGTTCCTGACCCTCATCACTCTCCCCTCAGCTCCTGTCTGTTCTGCCGCTCTTTCCAGTAGCGCTCCAGGGCTTTTCAGATCTGCTCACAGCTCAGGAGATGCCATGGGAGTTGTTGGGGGTAGAGGGAGGTAACAGGGGTTTTGCACATTCCTGCACATACTTGTACATATTTGTTCATTTTTTCTTTTATCATTAGCATTTAACTAAAGCTGTCTAGTTTAGTTTTCAATCTGGAAAGTCTGTCTCCTTGTTCTCTCTCTCTCATTTCCCTACCTGGTTGGGAGGGGGAGCAATGGAGAGAATTGTTTTCACTGGTATAATTGCTGATCCTGAGTCAAACCATGACTATACTACTGACAACCATGTTAGCTTAACTGAATTACAGCAAGGGATAGGGTCACCAGTGTTGTGAGAGTGCAATAGGCATACCGATACTCCAAGCTAGATTTTCTGGATTTCTTCCTTAATTTTCGTGAAAGTTTGCTGAACTGAGATTTTTATACCAAAAAAACATGTCCTCTGCTGATGGCGTTTTTTGTATTTTCTTACCACTATTGTGGTAAATGTGCACAGATGAATGATTTGGGCTTAAGTCAACTGAAAAGTCCTTGGGAGTCTTCAACTTCACACCTTGCCTATGCAGCTCTGGGAAGCTGGGCCTCCAGCTTAGGTCTCTCACTACTCAATTGCCTAAAAACCCCTTTTGATTTTCACTGATGGCTTAGTGTCACAGAAGTGACATTGTTGTAATAAAGTACTTACAGGGTTCTGTAAATACATGACTCGATGCTATATAGTATTTCAGTAAGAAAAAAGAACTGCTTACAGCAGCTACAGAGGCATATTTTAAGCTTCCTGACACATCTCAGAGCATAAGCATAATTAAGAAAATTATCACTAAGAGTGTACAGTTGCTGTACACTACAGGGTCTGGTAATTTTTCCAGATTATTTACATTTTTTATCAATGACCTCAAAAGCAGTTTAACACAAAACAGTAACAATAAAACTTTCAGTGCTAGGAGAACTGAACAACTACTAAATAACAAAGAGAAGTGACACATTTTCTAAGAAAATACCTCATCTGGTAAGCCAGGCAATAGAATGAATTTTTAAACACATGCTATAATAAAATACAGACAAATGTAAATTTGCAAGTCTAAATTTTATATTGCATGCATATTAGAAGATAAAATATTCTGTTATGTAAAATAATTGTGGGTGTCCTGCTGGATAGCCAGCAGACTATGAATTATCAATAGTGTTCTAGCCAAAGATTTTAATGCGATATCTTTGGGGACAGAAATAGGAATACTAAGTCAGAGTAGGAATATTATATTACTCCTAAATCCAGATCTTGTTTCCTCTGTTCAGAAAGGATGGCATAAAATTTAATTCTATTACTGTGGTTAAAATAGAACAAAAAAAACCTTTTTTTCTTAACCAAGAAGCTCACCCTTTAGTGCACCAAAAAAAGAAACATGTCAAGCCTTGTAAGCGTCTATATGGGAAACACGGGTTTGATGGATTTCTGTAGGAAACCTAAGCATATGAAAACAGCAAATGGATCATAAACTTTTATTTACACATTCAAAGTGAATCAAACTATTCTGTTCAGGCATATATGTGTGTATATATATATACATGTATATACTTAGATACGTATGTATTTTCTGGATCAAACATGTTTTGGTCTTAATAACTGAATTAAATCAGAGATACAGGGACAGAGTATGCAGGAGGTTAGACTAAATAACCAAAATGGTCCCTTCTGGCTCTCAAAAATCTATTAAATAATAGCTTAAAAGAGAAGACTAAGTTCTTTTTTACTTTTCTTTGGTTTCAGGAAGTTACAAGTGATTTCATCTCTCACGAGTGATGAACATTGAAAGGCAGGGGAACGTATGTTTACACTATGAAAACTGATGTGATATTCGTTCTCTTTCAACGAAAATCTGATATCCTATTTACTTACCTTACACTTCACATACCTTCAGGGAAAAC